GGGAGAATGCATATGAGTATATCTATAATGTGGAAAGGTATTTTGTCATTAATGGGCTAACGGAGGAGGATAAACTGACAGCAGCAGACCTATGTTTGGAGGGGAAGACACTGTCATGGTACCAGTGGAGAGACCAGAGGAGACTTATCAGGAACTGGAGGGAATTCAAGGACTGCATGATAGAATGTTTTCAAACCGACCGGGGAGGAGATTTCTATGAGTAGTTCTTTGCTCTGGCACAGGAGGGATCAGTAGCAGACTACCAGGAGCAGTTTGAGCATCTAGCCAATAGGGTGGAGCGATTATCAGATACGGTGTTGGAGGGGAACTTCATGAAGGGGTTGAAGGCAGAGATCCGAGCGGCAGTGAAAGTTCTGATGCCTAGTGACTTGAGGGAGACCATGAAGTTGACACAGCTGGTGGAAAATCAAAAGAATATGGAAAAGGGAGCTAGGAGCAGCAGCTCAGGAGGCTTTTACAAGACTACGACCACTCTTCTAACACCCAAGGGGCCTACCTCGGGCAACATTAATAAGATCACCAGGGAGAAGCCAGTAGGAGGAGGGAGTGGGAAAAAATTCAAGAGGCTGATAGAGAAGGAGATGCAGGAGAAGAGGGCAAAGGGGTTGTGTTTCAGGTGCGAGAAGAAGTTAACGCCAGAGCATCGATGCAAGGACCGAACTCTTCAGGTTCTCACCGTCTGCGATGAGAGGAAACTGAGGAGGGAGGTGAGGAGGAGATAGAGGAGGAGATGGAGGAGAAGCTACATTTGGATATGGCTGAAGTTTCCCTGAACTCAGTGGTAGAATTCACTACGAATCATACCATGAAGGTGAAGGGAGATATAGAGGGCAGGGAGGTGGTGGTGCTAATTGATAGTGGGGCTACTCACAATTTCATTTCAACTCAGGTCGTCGATCAATTGGGAGTGAAATTGGTGGACACCGTTTGTTATGGAGTGATGATGAGTACAGGGAAGGTGGAGAAAGGCCAGGGGATCTGTAGAGGAGTGATGTTGACCATCCAGGGGATTCAGGTAAGGGAGGACTTTCTCCCACTAGAGTTAGGAAGTACTGATGTCATCCCAGGGATGAAGTGGTTGCAAACCTTGGGAGAAATCAAGGATAATTGGGGAGCACTCACGATGGAATTAATGTTGGATGGGAGAAAGGTGGTTATAAGGGGAGATGCAGGGCTATCCAAAGCCATGGTATCACTTAAGATCATAGTTAGGAACCTACAAGAGGTGAGGGAAGATTATTTGGTGGGACTACACATGCTGGAGGAGGGAGGGGATGTTTCTCTTTCAGTGCAGCTCTTGATTCAACAATTCAATAAGGTTCTTCAGTCACCTCAAGGATGGCCACCTCCACGGGAACCCGAGTATATTTTCACCTTGAGGATAAGGCGGATCTTTGGGAGGGGAGTATTGTTAGACTGGTTCATTGGATCGGTCCAGCCGGTCCACGTAGGACCGGCTTAGGCGGAGAACAGGCGGAACATCTCCGCCTCTTCCGTTAGCCGCATGCACGCGAATCCCTGAGAGCTCATTTAGGAAGGTTTTTTGAATGGATTCTAGTAGGGAAATTGAATGTAGGGATTGTTTAGGGATTTCCTTTTGATTTGTATGCATTAAATACTTTATTTTCCTAGGGTTAGGGCATCTTGAATTTGGTTGAAATTTGAGATCTCTTAGATTTAGGTTTTCTTTGGGCTCTAGCAGCGCCTAGAGATTTGGGAGAGATCGATCCTCCTCTCGAATCGAGGATCAAGTGTATCTTGCTATTTTCCGTGTTCCTTTCATCAAATAATACAATTTATCTACTGTTTTGTGGTTTTGTGCGGATTATTGTGAAGATTTCTCGCTGTTTTCCGAAGATTGATAGGAAATACTTGAGATCTACAAGTGTTTCCTATCATAGCCCAAGAGCAAATTCAAGCTTACTTAAAAAGAGAACACCTTAAAGTACACTAGAAGGATAATGGATAATACCAAAGGAAGGAAGAAGGCTTCATATTGCTCATGTGGTGATGATCAGCACGACTAAGCAATCCCAAGATGCTGGGGTTATTTTTGAATTATTATTTGTAGTTATTTCCAATCATTTTCTATGTAATTTGTGTACAAAATGAACTAATAACTCTTTTTTTTTTGTCACTTCTCTTTTTATTTAGGGAGCAATTGCAAATTGTCAAGCATAGGTTGGATAGGCTATTGAAAATTTTGTTGAGTTTTTAATTTGTTTGATCCACGTGGACCACACCTAATAGGATCAAAATCAACCAAAACAGTGAACATGAAAGCTATAGAAATCACGAATTCATCACAAAAATCATATTATTTTGATGAGAGATGGGAAAATATACCAAACTTATCAAGAAGGTTTTGTATTGGTTCTTGCTTATAAGTGTTCTGCACCTCATGGGACTAGAGTCTAAGTGGTAATAACAGAAGTCGTAAGCGAATGAGCTATGATTACAACAAATTAAAAAGTTTACTAAAAGTGAAAGGAGATGTGCCTAAATTACTAAAATGATTTTGTGGGGGCTCAATAAATCTTAACCTATATATGTGATATGCACCCCATTAAATCAAAATCAACAAAAGCTGTGATTATAGAACTTGTGATTTTGGTGACAGATGAGGGGAGATATGCACATAATTTGACACTGTTGAGGGAAGTCCATGACACTTGAAGTCATTTCACATAATTTGACACTGTTGAGGTGCTCGTAATATATTTGGTGACACATCAACTTGCATGCCTCCGAACTCTGGAATGGAGGTCTAGAATCCTTAAACTTATCAATCTTCACAGCATTCACTTAGATTTTGTTTGGATAACAACTCAAAATCAAGACATGCTTCATAATTGTTGAGGATTTAATTGGTTCCTAGCTGTGAGTCAATGTAGACGATGAATCTCTTGATGTTAATTTTTTCACAAAGTAGAGCACTTATAACAAAGTCTCATATTCGTCTCGGTTGTTCGTGACATTGAAGGTGATTTGGAATGCATAGATTAAAGCCATAGCTTGAGGAATTTTTTAAATCACGCTAACTTACTGTTTCACTCCCTCAAAGCGTCATTTATATGCATTGGATAATACAGTTATTCTTCAGTTGAAGAGAACTCCACAACAAAATCTACCAAGTCTTGAATTTTAACGGAAGTCTGATAAAGACATCAAGTGTACTTGCTGAGCTCAATTGATTACTTCATAAGCCTTCTTAGAGTTCTAGTTTTTTTGGATTATTTATCAGATGTTTCTCCATGATGACTTAGACATTATGACCTTGGAAATAAGGATGGAGTCTCTCTGTCTCATGCTATTAAGGACAAGAGGAAAAGTTATGTATTGCTTGAACTCTTGGAAGGCTACTTGACATTCAAGCATTTAGTGGAACTTCTTTCTCTTGCAAATTGCCTTGAATTGTGGAGCACTCCACTCGCTTGAACAAGAAATGAACTAGCGAAGGCCCTCCATCTTAACTGTCAACTTTTGAACTTTTTTACCGAGCGTGGAGGCTTGATCTTTAGCATCATACAAATCTTATTTGGATTCGTAGTGATGTCGACCAACATAATCATGTCTTTAAGGAACTTATCAGTTCGAGTATTTAACTTACATTTGGAAGAGTCAAGCTTCATATTGAACCTCTTTAACATTGCAAACATCTTGAAGATATCAGTAAGATAGTTGATGTGTGACTTACTCTTGATCGTGATCGATGACATTGATATGTTTAAGCTTGCTTCCCTTCTGTGGTATAAAAATGTTATTCAAGCTTGATATTGAACCTCTTTAACATTGCAAACATGTTGAAGATATCAATAAGATAGTTGATGTGTGACTT